AACCGTCCGCTCCCGCCTCACCTACGCCCTTCTGTCGCGCCACGCGACACTCCGGCTGCCGCGGCAGACTCCACGTGGCGCTACGCGTCCCGCGCGCCGCCGCAAATAGAGCGCGACTCTTCCGTCGCAAGTTTTTTTGCCGACAATAATGGCATACCGCTTCCGCCGCCCGGGTATCAGCACCCGCTAGTCTATACCGGCACCTCTTACACCATGAGTGCCGGGGGTCCCAGACTAAAGCTGGAACGGTGGGATGGTAAGAGGGAGACGCTAGAGCGCTTCCTCGACAACTGTCTCCACGTGTTCCACTTTACGGGACTAGAATATCGAGAATGGGCCGCGTACGCACAGGCCCACATCAATGGGATGCCAGGCGATACCCTGGTGCAGGAGCGCCGCGGCTGGGCGGATCGCCAACTGTCAATTTGGATGGGACGTCCCGTGGGGCCTGATCTAGGCTCCGGACACTTGTTCGATTGGCACAAGTTCACGTCGTACTTGCGCGAAGTGTGGGGTGACAATCGTATGTACAGCAGCGCGCTGCACAAGTTGGGAGAAATATACCAACGAGGCTTGGTGGACGAGTACGTTGGTCGCTTCCGGGCTCTGGCCGTCACGGCAGAGGCCCAACCGGAGCGCACCCTCCTCAACTTCTTTCAGCGCGGTCTCAACACTGAGCTCCGTCGTCGTCTTGCTCATATGGACGACGCGAGGCTCAGCTCGTACATCTCCGCAGCGATCCGAGAAGATCGCAAGGTGCGCGAGGAGAGGGAGGATGCGGCACGGTGGCGCTCGTCGTCCAAGACGTCAACAACGTCGACAAACGCCGTCGCCACGGTCCGTCGTTCCGCTGCGGAAGCAGCCCCTGGGCCTTCTCGGCTCGCCCCTCGCGGAGGCAATGCTCCCCGCCCGTCGCCTGTTGCCGGCATTACTGCCGAGCAATACAGACAGCGGAGCGAAAGCAACCTCGGCCACCTGTGTGGAAGCCCGGACCACCGTCGGGCTAACTGCCCCCGTCGCAACAAAGCGGCAATGTTGCAGCTGATGGCTGCTAAACTCGACCATGAGGACGAGCAGCGTCAGTTACAGGAGGAGGACAACCTGGACGCCAACGAGGAAGAACTCCGCGAGGAGCTCTTTCCCCAGTCTGACGACCAGGGAAACTAGAGGCCGGCCGGAGCGCTCCCAGCACCGGGCCGGCAGAACTATGGGATGTGTTCTCCGCAGCAGCGACCAATGCTGTCGGATCTCAGGATGACCTACCCAGAGGCCGAGTAGAGAACGGAAAGGTGGTGCTGCCCAGACATCCCCACAAGACAGCGTACGAGTGCATAGTCAAAGTAAACGGCACTACGGACGCTGCCACACTTATCGATGGAGGTTGCACCTCATCAATCGTTTTGCCAGAGCTGGTCTTGAGAGCAGGCCTCTCCACCATTCCGATCCCACCGCTGGCGGTGAGCTTGCTTGATGGAAGCCAGCATGTATGTAATCAGCAAGCGCGACTTGATGTTGTCATTGCTGGAACGAGTTTAACGACATCCTGGAGATGTTTCGTGGTACCTGCGGTCCACAATTTAGTATTAGGCCTCAACTGGCAAGAGGTGGCCCATCCCTACTACGACTGGAAGAACCGACAGCTCGTGTTTTGCAAGCAATGTTTGAAAGCCCGTTCTGACGTTTGACAGGGATCCGAGCGACCGTTCCAGTTGTGTGGATTGCGACAGTTGCTGCTAGAAGCAAGCCACTCTGACCAGCCGATTGGGCGGTTTACGCTTGCCAAACTAGATCGCGCCATTGCGTTGGAGGACCAATCCGCCTCGCTCGCCTCGCTCGCATGCTTCGCAGGCGAAACGGGCGAAACAGGCGATACCGTCGCAACAGCGCCCAAAGGCGATCAGAAGCCGTCGCCGGCACAGCTAGTGCCCCCAAAGTACCATGAGTACTTAGATGTCTTCAACCCCGTAGAGGCCAGTCAATTGCCCCCACACCGACCTTTCGACCACAAGATCGAGCTGAAAGCCGGGAAGCATCCACCTTTCGGCCCGCTCTATCCGTTGTCGGCCAGGGAGCTCACGGAGCTATGGGAATATTTGGACACTATGCTGGCAAACGGGTTCATCCGCCGGTCGACAAGCCCAGCGGCAGCCCCCATCCTCTTTGTCCCCAAGAAGGATGGATCCATGCGACTCTGTGTAGATTACCGGGGACTCAACGCGATCACTGTCAAAGATTGCTATCCCATCCCGTTGATCGATGAGCAGCTGGATCGCTTGTCTCGCGCGGTGCGGATGACGAAGCTGGACCTTCTGGGTGCCTACAACTTGCTACGAATCCGTGAAGGCGACAAGTGGAAGACAGCTTTCCGTACCAGGTATGGATTGTTCGAGTACCTCGTCATGCCTTTTGGATTGTGCAATGCCCCATCCACCTTCCAAGCACTGATGAACTACGTGTTCTGGGACATGCTCGATATCACCGTGCTCATCTACCTCGACGATATCTTGATCTACATGGCCAAAGGTGTTGATCATGATGCCGTGGTGCGCGAGGTCTTGAAGAGACTGCAACAATACCGGCTGTTCGCGAAGGCTAGCAAGTGCGAGTTTGACGTGGAAGAGGTCGAGTATTTGGGTTTCTTGGCATCGACAAAAGGAGTACGCATGGATTTGAAGCGGGTACAGACCATTTGCGATTGGCCGGCCCCCAAGAACGTCCACGAATTGCAAGTGTTCCTGGGGTACGCCAATTACTACCGACGCTTCATCCCTGCCTACTCTCGCGTCATTGCCCCTCTGACCGACCTGCTCAAAGGAAAGGCGGTCAGACCCATCGCCTGGGAGGACGCGCAGCAAAAGGCTTTCGACGCTCTAAAGGACGCCTTCACGCGCAAACCTCTACTGCAACACTACAACCCTACTCTACCTGTCTTGCTAGAGACCGATGCTAGCAATCACGCAATAGCCGCGACGCTGAGTCAGCCGCACGGATCTCCCGTTTTGCCTGTATCACTCGCAAAACAGGCGAGCGACGCAAAACAAGAAACGATCGTCTGGCACCCCGTTGCATACCGCTCTCGCAAGCTGAACTCCGCGCAGTGCAATTACGAAATCCACGACAAAGAGTTGTTGGCGATCGTAGACGCACTACGTGAATGGCGACAGTACTGTCTGGGCACACACGAGAAGATCCAAGTTCATACGGATCACAAAGGCTTGGAGTATTTCGCTACCAAGCGGGCCTTGACGGCGCGACAAGCACAGTGGAGCCTCCTCCTGGCGGACTACAACTACGGCATCCGCTACAAGTCAGGATCGCAATGTCGGGTGGATGGCCTTACTCGCCGGCCGGACATGCATGACGGCCCAAACGCTCGCAATGAGCTTAACAAGCGAGGGTTAGGGTTAGGGTTAGGGTTAGGGTTAGGGTTTGGGGTTAGGGTTAGGGTTAGGGTTAGGGTTAGGGTTAGGGTTAGGGTTAGGGTTAGGGT